CTCTGCCTTTCTCGACAATGCAAACACCTCCGTTGCTTCATTCACGCTATTTTCTATAGTGCTATTTCTGTCGTGCCCAATTCTCTATGTCGCTATGATAGTTACTGCTGCCGGTTACGAAATAAAGCATGAAAACTATATTTTCAACATGAGGGAGGGCACTAAAAACACACATGTATTCATTTCAAATTTCAAAAAACTTTGAATGTTTTGCAGAAAAGCATTGAATGGGTGTGGGCTCTAGTTATTTTTAGTGCAAGTATATCTGCTTTTATTCTTACAATATCAGAATGGTCACTGACCTGATTCTTAAAAAAATTATTAAAAATAGTGTAGAAGAATTCCCTTCTCCATCCCCAAACTGCAACGTGCTGAAGCTGTTAGCACTAAGTACCCCCAGGAAGCGTCCTCTCCTCTCTTTTCGGTGACCCCCCGAAAATATGCTTATTGAGCTACTATGAAATTTAATAACGTTTATCCAGTCAGTTTAATAGCATCCAAAGTGGGGTAAGTCCAATAAAAAGGCAGTCGATGGACAGTATGAAAACGGAGGGCAGTGTAGAGTCGCGTACACTTGGTGGCCTGCAGGACAGCATGAGGTCAGTCCTGTCCGTTTCTAGATGTCATCTAATAATTTTTAAATGCCATCAATTTTTTAACTCATAAGAAAGGAAAAAACGGACAGCTTTTCCCTGATCCCACAGCGCAAGGATGCCGGTCAAACACCATTTCGTTTTCTAGGTGTTTCTGCCTTCCATCCTCACGCTGTGCGTGTTCAGCACCAACCCCCTGGGCAAAGCGGTGGGCAGGGACGCCCGCGGAAGCCGATGGACTCCGGAAGGACACGGGAAGCGGGGCCCCCAGTGAGCAGAGAGCCGCCCCCCTTCCGGGTGCGGCGCCGGCCCCTCACCTGGTGGAAGAGGGGGCTGTGCGTCACGGGGATGCCCAGCCCGCTGGAGCACATGCCCAGCACCATGTCGTCCGGGGCGTCGTTGCTGTGGCAGCGGCACTGGCTGCTGAGCAGTCTCCTGACGGCCTCTCTGCTGAAGACCATCCTGGGGGAGGCAGGGCGGACGCGTTAGAGCCGCTCCTCGCGGTCGCTGACCCCCGCGTCGGGGAGCCCTGGGGAGAGCGCCCCGTGCTCGCTGCGCAAGGGGAGCCACTCTCCTCTCCTCCGCGACGGCGACAGGCACAGGCAGCGTCGCTTCCTTACGCACCTGCCGCTCACGGTGCGGTGCTCACGGTGCGGAGCGCGTTCCTGGCTGCGACGCGCGGCCGGAGACTGGACCGAGCTTAGCTCCCGCCCCCACCCCCCCAGTGAGACCGGCAGGGAGACGGGCACAGACACACGCGCCTCGCACGGGACGCACCGTGAGACCAACTCTAACTGCAAAGCCACGCCCTGTCCAAGTCTAGAAGCTTCCATGCGGCGATTTTGAGAAAGAGAAAAGAGAGAGGTGGGGGGAGAAAGAGGCTGGTTTGCCGCATGGAGCCCTGACGGCCCGTGACCTGCTGTGCTGGGTCCTTCCTGGAGGGACTCTGTAGAGGCGGGGATGGTGGGCGGCCGCAGGCCGCAGCGGGGCTTCGGTCGCGGTCCCACGGCAGTGGCGAGGAGCCAGTCCCGGGTCCAGCTCACATGCAGCGCTGTGACGGACAGCAGCAGCCGCACAGTCCCCGCCGCACAGTCCCCACGATGGGCTCCAGAAAACGGCGCTTGTCTCAGGGGCAGTAGCAGCTGCCTGTGGTAAAGCCACCTGCTCTGGGGACAGCCACCTGCTCCCTTTCACCCCTCCTGTCCTCTCTACGTCTGCACCAGGTTCTTTAACACACAGACTGGTTTCCAGTCCGAGTGAATGGACCTCCTCACTGAACCCAGTCGCTGATAGGGCTGAAGGGACCGAGATGGTCCACAAGTTCATCCCCAATAAGCCATGACTCCCTTGAAGGCAAAAGTGTCTAAAATGTACCCAAATATTCCCCCCGCCAAATACAGGGCCTCGCACACAGCGCTCGGCAGAGCCAGACGCACCAGATACGTGAGAACGAGGTGCCGCTGCAGAGCGCTCCCCGAGGCGGCAGCAGGCGTGTGGCTCGGTCGGGTGGCGGGGGACAGAGAGCCCGGCACACTCGCTGAGGCAGGAGTGCTGACCCCGCGCTCGGCTGGGCCCAGTGCAGGGCAGTTTCACCAGCGCGCGTGGCCGGACGCCCCGGCCTTGCTAAGAAACCCGATGGAACGCGGCCAGGCAGGACCGAGCAGCAGCCCCTCGCCTGGGGTCACGCGGGGAGCGTGGCTGTGCCAGCGGCCTCGGCGGAAACTGCAGGTGTGACCGCCACCAACCAGCCTCCTTGGAAGTCTGATGCCCTCCCGCGACCCCGGGCGTGGCCGCGTCTTTCTCTGGCTCGTCTAACGCACACCCCCCGGGGAAGGGCCTGGCGAGGGGACACGCAGCGGCTGTGGACAGGCGGCCCCCCCTCTGACGCCACTTCAAGGAAAAGCCCCTCAGCACACTCGTCGCATCCGAGCAGAGCTGCGGTCTCGTTCGTCAAGGCAATTTACATAGAAACACTTTCTCGTTTTCTTTTGCCAACAACTGGGAAAGCAAGAAAGAGGAGGAAGGCCTTTTATTTCGGCCTACTCTCTAGAAGATTAACTTTACAGGAAGATAAAATGTAAGCGTGAAATATTTATTAGTTAATAAGCACTTCTATCTGTGCCTCCTCTCACAGGACATTCACTATCCGCATAAACGAAGTACACACGAGCCTTCAATAGCTTTGGTTTGTTCGCACGCTGATGGGGTCTTTCGAGACAAAGTTGGCCCCAAAATGGAAAACTGCCACTTACGTCAGAGTATGTCTCCTCCGCCTGCCAATGTTTAAATATTAAAAAGATGCTGAAAGGTTCTGTGATTTCCTTTTATACACAATATGTTAATATTAAAAATTAGAAAAACGGGAGGCAGGGACTTGCCCAGGGACGCGGCACCAAGTCAAGGACACACAGGGGGAAGTGCCTCGGAAGCGTGCCTGTCCCCCCCGCTGGCCCCCAGCACGGGGAAGGCCAGGGTGTGGCCCCTATGGGAACCACGGGCCGGCCTGTCCCAAAGAGACTACGACATCCTGACCACAGCTCCCTCCCTACCCAGACAGGCATAAATCAGTATTTTTGAGAAAGAAAACAGTAATCGGACCAATTGTCCCCAAAGCTCCAAGGAGCGAGCACGAAGTGAAGACAGACACCTGGAATCAAACAGCGCATGGGTCTCATCCCAAACAGCACAGAACTCTGCGAATGTCGCCGGAGCACGCACTCCCGTGCTCTGCCCCATGGGTCAGAGGGGTTGGGGTCGATCCGACCTTGAACCACAGTGAGGAAGCCAAGGCCTCCGAGCAGGAGTGGGAGGGGACGGGGTGTGCTTTGAGAAAGGTCTGTGACGGTGGCTTGGACAGCGGCTGGAGGAGGAGTGGCCCCAGGCTGTGTGGCAGGGACACACCGCACAGGAGGTGGTGGTGACTTGAGCTGCCAGTGGCTCGAAGCTCTTCCCCACAGAGAGCTTGGCACCCCTTGGCCTCATCCCGGCAACCCCCGCAGACCTGGCGGTCCCCAATCTCCCGTTGCCAGTGACCTCATATCAGTGCGTGCCACTGCTCAACAGACTGGTACCCTGCTGGGCCTGGTCACCACTGTGAGAGCCACCTCCACACCACGTCACACAGGCCACCAAACTGGCAAGATCAAACGGGAGCGCCCAGAGCGTGACCCTCGAGCACCCGCAGTAGGAAGCGTTCTAGTCTAGGGGACAGCGGAGTGAAATAAAACACAAAGCCCCAGCCCCTTGAGGCTCACAGGCCACGGCTCCAGCACACAGCTGACACCCTGCACGCAGCTGACACCTCACACGCGCCTGACACCCTGCACGCTCTTGACACATGCATATAGCTGACACCCTGCACACACCTGACACCCCGCATGCACCTGACACCCTGCACACGCAGCTGACACCCCTCACGTGCCTGACACCCCCCACCCGCCTGACACCCCACACGTAGGTGACACCCACATGCAACTGACGCCGACACGCACTTGGCACTTGATACGTGCATATAGCTGACACTCCGCACGCAGCCAACACCAGCACGCAGCCGACACCCACATGCAGCCGACACCCGCATGCGGCCGACACCCCGCACGCAGCTGACACCGCACACACAGCTGACACTCGCATGGCAGCTGACACCCCACACACAGCTGCGGGAGGAATTCAAGGGGCGCTGAACGCAGGCCTCCCGGGGCCCCACAGCACTGACTGCAGGGTGACAGGAAGGACTGGGCACGCCACTGACCGCCCACGTAAAGCGGGCTACAACCCCTCCCAGTGAGAGATCAGGCTTCCATTTAAAATCATTTGATTTTTAACTGTCATTTGAAACCTATAGCACAAACCTCACTTAATTGCTGAGTCTAAACTTCTACACTAGCCTTTTCGCAGTTGTGACTTGTAAGCACTGGATAAAGTCTAATAATTTAGTTTCTGAAAACATAACCTACGTCCAACTTATTTTTTTCATTTAAACAGACGATCAAAACTAACGGGCTGCCCAGAAGCGATCACGACTCACAGGGGCGTGTGCAGCAAGCCCCTGACACGCAGTCTGTGTCGTCTCTTCAAGGGGAAAAACGCTGTCTTCTGACTGACGGCTCTGTTCACATTGGGCAGATTCACGGTCACCGTCCTACTGGACGAACCGCTGCCGTCGGAGCACGTGTGTACACAGTGACCCGCCCCCCACCAAGGCCCAGCCCCCACCCGGCCGGCAGCGTGCCCGGGGAGCCCCCCCGGGCCATGCCCCTCATTACCCGCCGCCGCCCGTGACGTAGCTGTAGCCGCCGGCGCCCAGTCCGTAGCCGTAACGTTCTCCCAGGAGCACAGGGCCGTCCGCGTCGTAGCAGCTGAGCAGGCGCTGGAGCCGCGGGATGCTAGGGGTCCAGAGGGGACGGAAGTGGCAGCTCGTGAGCGCTTCATGGTTCCCACGCCCACTGGTTACACAGTAGGGTATGGGGCTGCGATCACGTAGAGGTGGAATTCCAGCGAGTTACAGAAGCGGGTTTTTACAAAAACACTGGCGAACACTTGACGTTACTGAAAACAGAAATTGAGAACCAAGGGGCCTCCTCCTGGGTTTAAGGGGCCCTGCCAGCCGTGGCTGCCCAGGGTGGGCTGGCAGTTTGTGAAGGCAAGGCAGTGTGGCCCCAGCCCTACAGAGCCCACTCCACCAGGCCCCCAGGGAGTATGAACCACAGAGCCCACCTCCACCAGGCCCCCAGATCGCCACCTCCACCAGGCCCCCTAATCGCCACATCACCCCAGATGCACTTGGTGTCTGTCTGAATTCTTGACAGTCAAGGAGCTTTGGAGGTACAGACGAGGCCCATGTCAGGCACGTGACTGGCAGGCAAGGAAGGGTGTTTGGACAGTGACACCCCTTAGGTTTCCCTGGAGTAAGGCCACCCTGGTCTGTGGCCTTTCGTGTCCACTTGTTTACAGCCCCCGGCCCTGGGAGTTATCAGCAGTGATAGCTGACAAAGCACAGCGAGGACATTCAAGGGCTAGTCAGAAAAACGTCTGTGACTGTAGCTGCCGTAGGATGAAGAAAAGATTTTGTAGGAAGATAAAATCTAGAAGTCACTTTTGAAAGGCGACACAGAGGTTGGTGTTAAGAAAGCCGAGTTCTTCCACGTGTTAAGAGCTGACCCCACTTTCAAACACCTTCTAACGCCCTCCCAGCCCTCCTTCTAAGCCAGGCTTTCCAGGGCACCCCGCCCGGCCCCAGGCTCCCCGTGAGGCTTATCGGGTCTGCTCCACGGGCATCACGCATCTCCAGGCAACAGACACGCGAACAAACACTTCTCTAAATTATCGATCGTGACTTCTTTTCTCGTGAAGCAATATTAAATCTAGAACCTAGCATTCCAGTGTCTCACTCTTCCTCTCTCGGGGTGGGCAGAGTCATGAGCAAACAAAGCACGGACGTCCAGGAAGAGGCCCCTTGTCCACGCAAGTCCACGCAGCTGACAGAAACATCCCAGCCCTCGGGCCAAGGCTGAGAGTGAAGCAGATGCATTCGCTGCACGGAGTAAGTCTCCTCCGTGTGGTGCTGAGAGAGTCTGCAGGTCCGCGGGCCAGGTTCGCTTCTGTCTGAAGGTCAAGGTCTCTGACAATGTTGACAGCTCTGAACGGCAGGAAAATGACCCAGTCTGGCACACAAGTTACACGGCCTAGGCACCTAACTCGGAGTCAGTCTCAAAATCTGTCTAACAAACAGCTCCACAGGGGAGGCTGGGAGTGCGGGGGTTCCTGCCAGACACCCCTCAGTCACGGAGAATGAGGCTTCCAAGGAAACGGCAGCCTCTGGTCGGCGACAGCCTCTAAAAGCCCAAACCCTCTGGGGCAAGGTTATGTCCACTTCTCGACCAGAGAAGAGATGAAAAGTAGTCCTCTTCGCCCTGCGTGTTGTGAATCATCAGCTCAACCTCGACCTCCGATTTCTGAGGTTAAAACGACAGAGGTGGTGTCTCTTCGGGGCGTCTCTTCCTGACGGCACCAACCACCTGCATATTCACAGCAGCATGTTAAAGCTGAAGAAACAAACTGAGTCTAAAAACTATCACACACTTCATATTCGCTAAAAACTGTGGCTGAGGCCAACAGGTCTCCACCTCTGTCCAAGTGGACAGACCCCAAATCCTGCAGTTGTTCAGCCTTGCGACTTCAGAACAGTTAGGGGGTTCCTGGTGATCAAGGACGATGTCAGAGCATCGAAAGGAAAAGGTGACAAGGTTCAAACTCAGAGACACATTTAAGACATCACTGAACAGCTAGAGATTTTTGCCAGTCAAATGGGGAAAAAAGAAAAGCTACGCGAACAGCTGGCGGAACTTCCAGGCAGAGTAAATGTCCTGAAGACGGTTGCCACTCGTGATACAGTCGCAGATGCGGTCCCACCACACGAGACGCTGCTGACGACGCCATCTTCAGAGGTGGCCGCGCTGCTTAGATGCTCACAGTCAAGCCCGGGGCTCACCGAGCTTCTTGGATCTGTTTATCGTTTTCATCAAATTTGGAAAATATCTCTTTAAATATCTGTCATGTGCCCTTTCTCTTTGGGAGACTCCAATGACATACATACAAAGCCACCAGGAATTGTCCCACAGCTCAGGGACGCTCTGTTCATTTTTTCTCTGTGTTTCATTTGGACATTTCCTGTGGCAGTGTCCTCAAGGTCGGTGACACTTTCTTCTGCAAAGTCCGATTTGTGTTATTCCCATTCAGCAGGTTTTCCACCTCAGACAATGTAGTTTTCATCTCTAGAAGTCCGATTTCAGGCTCTTATACACCTTGCATGCCTCTTTTTTGAACATAAGGGATGCAGTTATAATAACTATTAGTAACAGCTTAATAACTGCTAATTCTAACATTGTATCAGCTCTGGGACAATTTCATTCAACTGTTTTCTCTTGGATGTGGGTGAATTTTCCTGCTGCTTTGCGTGTCTGGTGACTTTCCAGGCGTTGTGACTCTCACTTTGTTGGGTGCTAGATATTTCAGTATTTCTACAAACCTTTTCGAGCTTTGTTCTCAGAGGTGAGCTCAGAAACAGTCTGGTCTTTCAGATCTTGCTTTTAAGATCCATCAGGCAGGATGGGAGCCATGCTCAGCCCACGGAGAGCTGTGTGCCACCACCACAGTGGGCCCCTCTACAGGCTCCGCCCACTGCCCGTGATGCCGGGCTGTCCCGGGCTGGCTGGAGTGAGCAGGCCCCGTGCTCGGCCCCGTGCATGTCAGGCACCATTCGTTCCTGTCGTTTGGCTGGTCCCCTCCCCAGCCTCCGGGGACTCTGTCTCTCATATCAGTCTATGCCTAGGGGCGCCTCCATGGGTCCCCCGTGCTCTTTCTGACAGCTCTGTCCTGCACACCGATGGCTTCAGCCTCCCGGCCTCTTGGCTTCATCTCTTCAACTCCAGGAGCCGGCCCGGCAGCCCTCCCTGAACAGTGACTGGGACACCTCAGGGCGGTCAGCTGGGCCAGCTGTGGGACTCACCTCACTTGCTTCGTGTGTCCTCATAAATCAGTGTCCTTTGTTGCCTAAAGCCCAGGATCTTAAAATCCCCATTTTATGTGTAGTTGCCCATTTGGGGGGTTGTTTCAGGTGTGAGAGTAAATCCAGTCCCTGTCACCCCACCGTGGCCAGAAGCAGAAGGACCCATCAGTTTCCAAATGTGGATATGTGTAGAATCTCAAGCCACCCTAGGGTAAGAATGTCGCCTACCTTATTAACGTGTCATCATCCACAATGACTAACCATGCTATCTTGTCATGGCTGAGATTCAAAAATCTCTCCAGAATGGCAAATGTCTTTCCACAATGACCTAAGAAAAGCGAGAAGAAAACGTACGACGTATTATTTTCTTTAAAATACATTGAACTCATTTTAAAACATTTTTGTGAGTTCTAAAGTTTTACAAGTAGAAGCTTACATGCACCTGCAATGTACCTTAATAGTCTGAAATTTTGGAAATTAGCCTTTTCTAATGTTCGCAGACGTAGTGAACCGGGGAAGGTTTAGAGATGGTGAAGCCTGAGCCATTCACGTCACACGTGACGAAATGCAGGTGTAGAGAGGGGAAGGGATTGCGCCAGGTCACACAGCTCATCTGAAGCAGAGACGGGACCTGCGCCTGAGCTCCAGGCAGACGGGAAAGTTGTAAGCCTCAGGGAAACCACAAAGCCTAACAGTTCTAAAAACTGTTAGAATCCCACGCATCACAATCATAGAGAAACGATGATGCAGTCGTGGAGTGCTACACCTTCATTCACCCATTTTGTAAGTATCCACTGTTAAGTTATAACATGCCAGAGGCAGTGGCACATTATACGCACTAAAGGCGCACGGCTGACCACGTCCGCCACGGCTCACGGCCAGCGGATGCATGTGGACGCTTTCATGGCGGGGCCAAGAGAAGAATAAAGTGGGAGGGCTCCAGTTGATAAAGAGAAACACACCCCTCGTTTCAACAGAGTATCTGGTGACACAATAGAGAGCGAACTAATATTAACTAATTAATATTAAGCCTCTCAGTTTGACCTTTAGTTTTCTTATTCTTGATCTCTTTCTGTATTTTTAACCATTACGGCACGTATTTTTGAAAGCCATCTCAAGTTCCTTTTGGAATAAAGAAGACTATAATTATGAGCAATAATAAGGTCAGGCTAAATGTAAATTAAGAAACCAAATAAGGGATGCGTAATTCAATAAACGATTACTAAAGCCAACCTAAATTGAAGTCTACAAAGCAAAATTAACCAAAAAAGAAAAAAGAAGAAGAAGAAAATTCATCTAAAACTATTTTTTCGAAACAGCGACAGACTCAGTACCTGATTCTGTGTCACACTTTATAATCAAGGAATCTCGGGTGACGTTACTACACAACAACCAAGATAAGTGACTCTGCAGACTAGACAGTCAACTAACTCACTGTTGCTTTATTCATTAAAGGTCCTGGGGAATCAGAAACAACCGTTTCAAGACACTGGATAATAATTAAGATGAGCGAAGAGCCTCTGAAGGCATACTGTAAAAACTCCTACTTTCATTCGTTGGAATTAAAATCTCGCTTTCAGTTAGGAAGCCTGCGCGTGCTTCCAACAACTTACTACTTAAAACGTTAACAAATCTGACCACATGCACACGTATGCAAAGGAGCTTACACGACACCTAGCCAGTGTGGCATGTGGCTGAGTGTCATTCAGAGGTGCACACAAAATGAGCTAGGCCATGCGTTCCCTGGGTTCAGAAACAGTCACCTGCACTCCTGCCTCCCTGGCATGTGACAGGACCGGCACGCAGACATTGGGTGACGATCCTGTCAAATGAGGGGACGCTTCCTGTGGGAAGACGGTAAGTTGGCACGGAGCACAGGGTGGGCCCACAGCACGTGCTGAAGGCGTCGGAGCTGCCATGCTCAGCCGTGCCGGCGCGGGCCACTAAAACCCACAGCCTTGCCTCCACTCGGACGCAGCTCTCGAGCCGAAGTAACTGGTCCACACTGGTGGGTAAAGATGTTCAGAAGCGGGGAAGGAATAAAGGATGGTACCTATAAACATCTGGCTTTACTCCTCGTTGCACTTACAGTACGTACAGGATGGACGTGCCGAGTGAGAGGGGTGGGAACGAAGGACTCACCTCTGTCTGTGTTGGGGACCCCCAGGTCCACTGTGGGAATGGAACTGTCTGCGTGGTCGCTGTAATACTCAATGTGACTTGCCTGACCCGCCCACGTCTGCTTTACGATGGGGACTGAAAAAATGAGAGAGGTGACAGTCACTGGCACAGTACAGAGAAGCTCGGGGTCTCAAAGGGGCAGCGTAAGCACCTGTAAGGAAGGAGAACAATTATCTGTTCTTCATCAGGTGTTCAAGCCTTAGGGCTGGCTTTCCTCCCTGGGAAATGCCAAGGCACGGGAATAAAACCCTCTTTTTGAGGCATTTGCAAGATGCTCCAAAGCCAAGACTCTCCCTTCCTGGTGATAAATTCACGTGCTTCCATATAATGAGAAATGTTCTGATTATACCGATTGTGTTTAATCAGCACATAATCAACAGGCTGATTATACTGTTGCAGTTAAATTAAGTTCAACTAATTTCCCTTTTCTCAATAGGCTCCATTTAAAACTCACAACTGGAATTTTAAAATGCCTTTTGGTGATGAGGAATATAATTCCTTCCAAAAATTGGAATATTCTGTGTATTTCTGACTGAGATGCAAATGTGTCTCCCCTACAGTGTGGGCAGGGGCAGCTTCTCAGATGACACTGTCCCCACCCAGATTTCAACCCAACCCTGGGAAGGGCGTGACTCCACAGCACATGTGATGACTGACACCACTGTTACACTTTTGAAAAATGTGAAAGAAATGAGCTCTTGAGAACCACTGCAGATTTTAAACCTCTACTGTTAACAGATAAATCGTTTTAATACAATAGACACGAACAATGGAAAGCTTTCCTGGTTTCCTGTTTCCAGGTGAGATGTTCAAAGGTGGAGTTGTACACCCACCTGCAGAATCTGCCCACCCACCTGCAGAATCTGCCCGCCCACCTGCAGAATCTGCCCGCCCACCTGCAGAATCTGCCTGATCACTAGTTGATATTAATTCACTTGACCGACCATCCGAGTAATTATTTTCTTCTCTACTTTTTAAGTTACTGTCTGTGCATCTCTAAATTTTAAAGAGAAGGAAGTGTTTCTGCTGTTGTTTTAATAGAAAGGTCACCTGTCTAGATTTTACACCCTGTTCAGAATCTCAGTTCCAATGACTCAACTCTTCAGAACAATATTTTGAAACTTTATCAGGTCATTTATCTTTTCCTTCGTCCCAGCCCAAATAAAAATAAATTATATGCAAAAACTGCCTGTGCAAGGCCAAATTTGTGTTTAGCTCTATAAGTCAACAAACTCAGAGGCAAACTCCGAGACAGCTCTTATATAAAATACAAGAGTGCGCCATCTTATAGTTTGTTATTCACCCGCTTTTAAAAAAGAAAAAGACCGATGAATTCTGGATATTTGCTATAATAATCTCTACATTACCTATTCTAACCCACTAAATATTATTTTTATACATTCAAATATAATTTTTCTACAGACATAAAAAGGCAGATATAAAGATCTCTCTATGTCAAAACAGACACAGATGCAGGAAATAATGCCAAGGTTGCTAGGGGGAAACACTCACTCCTTACTACTTCTAGATTCCAATGCGACAAAAATCTTCACCTTGTTTTCCATATCAGCAGGTTAAGGCTTGATTTTTCAGCCAGGGTTGATTCTAAATTACTTAACACTTTTAAAACATCAGTCTGTTTTATGAGCATTGTTTGAATTCTAAATTGAATTCATTCTATTATTTATAAAATATTTTATATTGTGTTGAAGCACTGCACTCCTAAAGGTTAACGTGATCTAGCATCTATCTCGCTTTCAATAAAGAGAAGCATGCTTCCTACCACATAATAAAATAGTGAATGCCTCTTTCAAGGTTTGCCGCAAGATAACTTATAATTGGAGCAAAGTAAAAATTGGACTATAAAAAAAAAGCCTACTGCACAGAAGGCAAATCTTCCATGCGGCTTGGCAGACTCAACACAGGTAAATTAACCTGCAAACTCTGATTACAGATGAACTTGACACTGGAACACTGTACAACAACTACCAATCAAATGCGAACGACTTGGTTTTAAGGAATCTGCTCTTTTTGACAGATGGACCTGTCGTCTCAGTTTGCAAGTCAGTGACCACAGAATCAAACCCTGGCGTTCGTCTGGTCTCAGGAGAGGGTCAGACGCACCCGCGGGATTCCTGATTTTAGGGAAGGGGCGGAGCACACGTCAGCCTGTAAAGGGCCAAATACTACTTATCAGGTGTTAAGTTTATAAGACATCGAGGAGGTCACAGCATCGCTGTGACAGGAGGACGATGGGCCTTGGAGCCAGGAAGCCCCAGCCGCCCTGCTCCACAGACCACGGCTGCGTGAGCCAATTGTGTCCCACCCCAAACTCAGCTTTCTCTATAACGTCAAGAGAAAACAGTGATGGTCACATCACCAGAATTGTCAACGCGAAACTAGGTGACAGCATGTATGTGAAAAACACCAGAAAAAGCAAAAAAGGCAGCAGTGGGAAGCAGTTGCTAGGGCTTACTGGATAATTCTTTGTACCAGCTGGTAGCTTTGGACGAGACTGTCACAGGGAGGGCAGAGCCCAGGGGCCGGGAACGCAACCTGACTATTTTAGGTAAACATACAGGTTTACAGGTAACGCACTTTTGAGATATTGCTGATCATAACCAGATTTTAGTTGATGTCAGTGTCTTAGACAACCTTTTAATTCCAAATTATAATATTCTTTTATTTGGAAAATATGTTTCCCTTTAAAATATAATTTGTAAGTATTACATTATCACATAAATCATATAAATGAATTTCTCCTATAGCTCCAATCCCACGAAAATGACAACTGGTTAGACATTTCTCCTATGTAAATATCACGCTCTCGTTGAAATCGACAGTCTTTCCATGGGGAAAAAAAACATTAAATATCTGCTAAAATTAGAAAATGCAAAAGACTGTCTAATTTGCAACTTCAGAAAAGTGCTCTTGAAATAAGGTGAAAGGAGAAATTATGTCTGTATATATTTAGAATAGGCTTTTTTTTTAACGTCATTACCATAATTTAGAATTCTGTAGTGACACCAAAAACTTGAATAAAAACAATATCCATCTGCCTGCCTTTCAGGATTTCCTTAAGAAGGGACCACTGCTAAGATACCTTCTTCCTTTTCTCTTATATATCTACTCACGAGCAAAAACAAATCTTTTTTTAAAAGTTCCAGTGTGTGCATTTGAAGTAGATGTGAAAAGCATCCTTTCTTGTCATTCTGTCACCTTAAAACCCCTTCTCATAATTCTCATGCAGTTCGGAGACTGAGTGTGGACATAATAAGACATTGTTTTGCAAAATGGATTGTTATTCACATATTGTCTCCAGATTGCAACAGCTGAGTGTTTAAAACACTGCTTTTAACGGTACTTAGAAGGGTTTGGACCACCCAGGTGTAGTATAAAAGTGTCCTTTCTAACGGATGTTGGTGGCTGAAGCAGTATGATGAGGAATACCGATTAAATAACGGCTTTCACTTCGACAACAGACATAGCGTTATCCTTTTCTTGAGTTTATATCTGGTTTGTACTTTTTTAAAAGACAGTATGGATTTTAGAAGTTCAGTAAAAACGAATAACCCAAAACATACTTCTATCGCCATGAAATTTCTTGCATGTTTTCACTGCGACAAATATATCCTCCTTTTTCACTGGATTTCCCTAAAAAACAAGGAAAAATATACGCACGTGTGAGTCCATATTACCGTAACTTCATACCTGCGTTAGATCTCGCGGGCCCGAGAGGTCAAGGGCACCAGCGTCAGGGACGTCAGACCTGGTTCCAGGAGGAAGTTTGAGGGGAAGGGAAGTGCAGTTGAGCTGACAATGCAGCCTCTGCCGTCAGCCGATGGACCTGATCCCAGCCCAGCCCTTCCCACCCTGTGTCACCTGGACACGTCCCCTCGCTCTCTGCACTTCTGTCTGCCGTTTAAAAAGCGGGAGGATGACTGCCGGCGAGGCTGCTTCTATCACGGCTACTTATTAAGTGCGTCACAGGTGCCACTGAGTGTGACCTTCCCTTTTCCAGCTGGAGAAGATTTGGCAAAGGGCGAGAACTGAGGGGTGTCTCGGTGTGAATGGGAGGGTACCCGCTTTTGTGGGCCCGGCCAACGCTGATGTTTCAATGTTCTTAGGGCCCCGTTACTGTCTACCCAAGTTGGGGACAGTCACCTCTGACACCCGGAGCTGGCTGCAGCCCAAGCTGACCACGTGGATGAAGCGGGCATGGAGAGGGACCTGGGGGCACCCACCCCAAGGCCCCGGGCTGCAGCGTGGGGGTCACAACCCTTTTGTCACCTGTCTGTGCCTTTCATAAAATGCAGCCCTGACTGCTACATTGCTTGGAACTGGTTCACAGTGACATCTAAGCGCAGCTTGGTATGTCACTCAGGGCATTAGGAAGCCCCGCACTGAAAGCCCCTCCAAAAGCAATAAAGAGCAAGAGAAACACCCAGAAGACGGGTTTCCCCTCAGGCACTGAGCACACAATCCAGATTCTCCCCACTGCCAAAGTGTACGTATGTGTGCATTTGTGCATGTGTCACGCGTGCGTGCATGTGCGTGTGCATGTGTGTGCGAGTGTGCCTGTGTGTGCATGTGAGTGTGCATATGTTTGCATATGCATGTGTGTGCATGCATGTGTGTGCGTGTGTGCATGAGTGGGCGTGTGTGCTTGCATATGTGTGTGTGCATGCACGTGTGCATGCATGTGTACGTGAGTATGCATTGAGTTGTGTGCATTTGCATATGCATGTGTGTGCATGTGTGCATGTGTGTAAATGTGTGTGCAGAGTGTACGTATGCGTGCATTTGTGCATGTGTGTGTGCGAGTGTGTATGGGCATGTGTGTGTGCGAGTGTGCCTGTATGTGCATGTGAGTGTGCATGTTTGCATATGCATGCATGTGCATGCATGTGCCTGTGTGTGTGCATGCATGTGTGTGTGCCTATGTGTGCATGAGTGGGCATGTGTTTGCATATGCATGTGTGCATGTGCGTGTGCATGCATGTGTGCGTGAGTATGCATTGAGTTGTGTGCATTTGCATATGCATGTGTGTGCATGTGTGCATGTGTGTAAATGTGTGTGCATGCATTTGCATATGCATGTGTGTGCATGCATGTGCATGTGTGTGCCTGTGTGTGTGCCTGCATATGTGTGTGTGCCTATGTGTGCATGAGTGGGCATGTGCGGTGCGTGAGTATGCATTGAGTTGTGTGTATTTGCATATGCATGTGTGTGCATGTGTGTAAATGTGTGTGCATGCATTTGCATATGCATGTGTGCATGCGTGTATGCATACATTCATCTTTGAAAATGCGACACACAGATTTCTGTGTGACTGACTCGGGAATAAGTGCCAACATGTGAGGGTGGTGAGTAGATTCTCCCATCCGAGGAGGAACGGTCACAGCCCCATGAGGCTCAGGGGCCGAGGGTCTGCCATGAGGAGTAAGTTCACTCTGACCGCTGTGGACAGTCCCAGGTGAGATCAAAGCGAGGTCACCAGCTGAGAAGGAGACGGGACAGGCTTGAGGCAGCGGCTTGGGTGTCACAGGGAAGGTGTGACATCGCCCTTCTGGGGGATGGCGCAGAGATTCCGAGGGGCACAGGCTGCACCGTCAACAAGAGACGATGCTGGACTCGGAAGCGCTGCAGCCAGCGCTGTCAAAGGCCATGGAGGCTGCGGTCCACTCCGCACGGCACAGCCGCTCGCCCTGTGCGTCGCTGCCCCTCTGTCCTATGCACGGCGGTGACGACGGGCTCACCTCCCGGGGCTGAGATCAGTCCAGACACGACACACGATCTTACCTGGCTCGCACAGCAAACGCTGACTCTCTCTCAGCGTGGGATGTGCTGGGACAGTATGTGCACGGAGGGCGTGTTCTCCTTCGGGGTGCAAGGGAGCTTTCTCCCGGTACTTACGCAAAGGGGCAGGGAAGAGTGGCCCGTGGTGGCGCAGCGGGCATCCATGCTGTCTGTACACAACTCTGGCACTGGAGTGAGGGCAGGCCCGTCCCCTTTGTCCCAGATGTAGAGGGCGATCTGTCAGGCGACAGGAGACCGGCGGTGAGTGGATGGACTCGACCAGCCCCGCGAGTGTGCGAGGGTGTGACGCGTCAGGGAAGAGGGCCAGGCGGTCTACGGAGAACTGAGGTCAGACCGCGTCCGTCTGTCGCTACTCAGCGGGCTTCCTGACTTTCAGAAGCCGTAACTCCATGTGGACCCATCTGTCCTTCATCAACAACAGACGTTTACTACGAATCAACATCGGAACTCCGGAAGCCTCCCCGTTGTCCTAAGCAATGGCAGGGAACCTGTGTTAGGGACTCAAACGTCACGGAGGAAGACGAGCGAAACATCACCGTGGCCCTGGTGTCCTGCAGCACGGCGATGACCATCCTGACTGCAAACATCTAGAACATTGGACACAAGATCTTTAAAATCATTGTACATGATTGCTAAGTTGGCACAAAAGCGTGGCACCTGTGGGGACAAAGATGCAAGTGTGAGGACCCGGGACGAGGGCGGTGTCCCCAGTGGGCTTCGGCAGAGCCCTGGGGATGCTGAGCCTCCGACGGGTTAGGAGGACATAGCCCCTGACCCCCAGCTGGCAGTGCCTGACAACGTCCGCGCAGAAGGCTGGGACTCCCAGCCAGGTGGAGGGGAAAATCATCTCCGAATTCCCCCTGGGGTTTGGTGACCAGAAGCCAGGCCTCCCCAACTGTGCCACCTGTGTAGTCCGAACACCTCCAACAGAGGGGCTTACAGCGGCCCCACGTCAGTACAACCTCTGGCCGCGAAAGCAGGTGCAAGTCCTTACCCAGGACTCAGAGCTTCACGGCAGGACTCAGAAGAGTCGAGACAAAACGCCAAAGGCGCAGGAGCACTCAGTGAAAAAAACCAGAGCGCGAAGAAGCGAGGGGACGAGCAAGCCCAGGAGACACGGCCTCATCAGCCCCAAACACTCGGGTGCCGGAATTACTGAACACGGACTATCGAATTACCCTGTTTCATACATCTTTACAAAGAAACAAAAGACTTTAAAACACGAGCAAAAAATTTTTAAAGATTATACGAAACAGGAACGAAGCAAATTTGAAAAAGAAATGACCAGAACTTCTAGAAATGAAAAACATCATCATTAAAATGAAAATGAAAACATACTATTTAAAATGAAAAACAAGGGCGAGGATAAAACGCTATAGTACACACAAGCTGAATAAAATATCAGGGAAAAGATGAAGCCCCCAAATTATCGAAAATGTAGCACGGCAAGACGAAAAACGTAAAAGAAAATTTCAGACTGGTAGCAGCATGTAAATTCCAGAAGGACATAAGAGAGAATGGGGACGAGAAAATAGTGGAAAAGACAATGGCTGACAATTTCCAAAAATTGCTTCAGGACCCTATTACAGAAAGGGCCAGAGAGTCCTAAGCAGGATTAGAAAAAAGAGTCTACGGTCTAGACATCGCACGGTGAAAACGCAGGACGCCAAAGACAAAGACACAACCGTAAAACAGAGAGAAAGGGCACCTTACCTACAAGGGAGCCACCTCCACCACGCTGGCCTCCCAGCTCCTCGGCCACAGCAGAAGCCAGCACGGCACGTAACACCACCGAGAGACCGAGGGGCTGACAGCCCACAAATATACACACAGCGCAACTAACTGTCAAGGACAAAGCTGAGATAAACGCTTTTAAAGAAAAAACTGAGAATCTACCACCTCACTAAAGTAAATGCTAAAGCATGTGCTTTAGGAACAATGAACATGATCCAAGTCAAAAGGTCTTAGAGGCAAGATGGAATAGTGAGCAAAGATGTGGGCAAATTCGTGGTTAAGCTAACACAAACGTTAAATGCATAAAATAATGACATTTAAGTTGCAGGGTAAAAAAAAAAAGACAACAAAACTACTGGACAACAAGAGCTAAATTATTGAGACAGAGTTAAATTATTCCAAGGCCCTTGAATTTTTAGGACACTGATTAATTAGCCATTTTTAGTTCAGAATGCATGTTAAAATATTGAAAATAACCAATACGTACAGACCTAAAGATTGAACCTCTGAAATAGCAGAGGAGGAAAAAATGGAATAAAGAAAAAAAAAAAATCAAAAAGCAAAGTTTTAAAAAGAAAAAAAATGGGGGAAAAAGTATAAAATAAAGTATTTCTTACAACTATATTAGTAATCATAATCAATGTAAATGTAAATCTGCCATCTGGTTTGAAGATAAAGACTGTCCGAGTAGGACAGATAAACGAGCAGTGTCCTCTTAAACGAGACACACCCTTAAAGATGAGACCGCAAAAGAGTGAAAGAAAAAGATGAAAAAGTTATGAAAAACCCTGAAAGAAAGCCAGGATAGAAATACTCATGGCAACCAAACGAACTAAGGCGAAGAGATAAAGACAGTTCACGAACAGGTAACGATTCCACACGCATGCCTCGAAGGTGCATCGTCTTACAGTGCAAAAAGCAAAGGGGTGGGTGCCACACGAGACGGTGTCAAACCCACCATTCCGATGGAAGATTTTCACATCCCCCCCTAAGCAAATGTACGTCCAGCAAATGAAAGGAAAGGGGGAGGGAGGGACTCTATAAAGCACAATATTAATTGTTCTTTAATCGATTAACCTATTAGAGTCAATCTGTTTTCTTTAATAGAGAATATGATACCCCCCAAATCAGAGCATATACATCTTTTTCTCCATTTACGAAAAGTAAACGTGACCTAAGCCATGTAACCCCCAAAATATTTCAAATTATTGTGATATAGACCACAATAATTCTACGCTAGGAATCAGTGACAACACGACGACAACACACACAAATATACTGGCTCACAAGGAAAAATGTATTTGTACAGTGAGTCACGGTCAGTCTACGGCCACGCCACCCTGAACACGCCTGATCCCGTCTGATCTCGGAAGCTAAGCAGGGTCAGGCCTGGTTAGTGCTTGGATGGGAGACCACCTACGAAGACCAGGTGCTGTAGGCGTAAAAATAAAAATACAAATAAAAAGAGTGAGTCACAGTCAAAATACAGTTTAAAAGCCTCCACCCTAGAGAAACCCTTGCAGGTGAGCATCATGACACGCATCCAAAATGCGCACAGAAGCAGTGACTGTACCAACAAAACCGAGCAAATAACCAGTAGCCACCAGAAGCCCATCACAGGAGAAATGGCTGCAGGAAGTGAAAATAAGTCCATGAGATTTCAGATTGGAGCGGCATTCACGGTGCGGTTTATACGGAGCCCAGAGGATGCAGAACTGCATAATATACTATTCAGAGATACGGGCATCTGCTGTCAAATACGAGAAAAGGGACAGAGAGAATTCAGGAAACCGTTTACTCCGGTGAGAATGAAGGAGACCCGCCTGGGAGAGCCACGGAAGTAGCCTCACAGCGACCGGCGGTGACTGCATCACATTCTGCCCTGTCTTTACTCCTTTCGTCTATGGTAAAAACAGTCCATTGTGTGTACTCAGCATTGAACGGGTCCCCCAACCTGGGACCTCAACTGGAGCGACTTTTACCTACAGATGTCCAGGCAGACCCTGGCTCTCAGCGGGCCACTTTCCTTTGTGTGGAAGAGAAGACTGATTTTTTCACACGGGTGTTTCTCCTCAACTGAGCCACCTCCTCATTTAGAAACAGTCGAGGAGTAAGTGTCTTGCAGGTGGCCTTTGCTCCCAGCAGGCTGCCGGCGTGGACCTGTCAACACGGACCCCAGCATCCTGAGACAGATTCTTGCAGGCTGAAAGGCAGGTTTGCTTTAGGCATGTGACATGCCCATCACAAAAGGCCTTCTTAGTGATGACCAGAAACAGTTAGCGATGGGACACCTGCCACCTGCCCCCAGGACAATTGGTCACAGACATCCCCTAAGTGCCAGGAGTGCTGGGGGTCCAGACTGGCATGCCACGCTGCCTGCTTGGGACCAACTGGCTCAGCTGTGCCCCAAGGGTCCCCACAGAGACATGGCGAAGGCCTCGCGTACAACCAGGTACCAAACAAGGCCACAGGCACTTTTAGTGACATTTTTGCACCTTTTTACAAATCTACCTCTGGACCCATCCCCTAGCTTCAAAAGCAAACTCAAGAATCACAAGATACAGAATTGTCCAATGCTCCTTCTCACTCACATGACCAAAAGAGTTTGGAAAGGAAAGGGCCTGACTGACGCCATGGACCCTGAAGATGCACAGGGCGGGGGACGCACTGTTAGGGGGCACCAGCCGCCTGTCATGCTGGAAGACGTGAACTTCTGGCCACTAAGACTTTTAACCGAGCAAACCGTGACGTACCTCATGTTTTAAGTCTATTGTAAAGTCGGACTTCAGGGACTCTCTCTTCAACCGCTTGGTGAGCCTGGAAAACAAAATCGGAAGGTTTTTCTCAAACCAGAAGCAGCATCAAACGAGAATGACACATTCTTGGGATTTCACGTTTGAAAACAGGCAAAAGTACAAACTTTAAAATAAAAATAAGAGTTTAATTCCCTTGAGGCAGAGGACTGTGCAAATGCAATTATGTGTTGACCAGGATATGAATACAAGGCTTGTTGTAAACGCTGCAGTCACTGTTGTCACAGCTGACAAATAACGTGAAATATAACAGATACAGTACAATACAACCCAAGACAGTACATCAAATGCCGTTTTTTAAAAAGCCATGAAGTTTGTTGACTCCTGATAATCCTTACACAAAATAACGTCAGAGAAAGAAAAAGGACAAGCAAAAGAGCTTGTATGACAGAGAAACAAACCTGCTACTTGTCACTCTCCTTTCAATGACCCGAATGAGCTGTAGTTTGTGGAGTTTGGGGGGAGAGAGTGTCTGGTTTCAAGGAAGAATAAGTTCCCTTCCACATCATTTTCAGGCTTGAAGCCTTTTCAGTGGCCCCATCGCAGTGCAGAACGGGGCTCCAGAGCCCCAGGCCTGATGGCCCTGTCCCCCTGCGTGTCCCCAGCCCCTCGGCACCGCCTGCCACCTGCAGAGCCCACTCCCGGCACTTGCCACCCCATACCCCTGCACCCAGCCTTCACTCGGCAAACTCTCCTCAGGACCAAACTCAAGGGCGCCTTCCCCGTGAGACCTTTCCCGACCTGCCCGCCAGAATAGATGGAAACTCTTTTCTCCCAAAGAGGAGCGCAGCCCCGTTCGCTTTGTCACATGATTATAACGTGCCGTGTGCGCATCCTTCTCCGTGTTGTCACCACGGTCCACTGTGCCCGGCCCAATGAGCACGCAGCGAGCGGCCTGCACAGGGGGCGGCGCGCTCGCCAGGCCACACGGCCCGGTGTCATTACAGGGCTGGAGCCCAGGCCATCGGTTTCAGTTACAGACCTGCTAATTAATACATGTAGTGACTATGAAGAAATAATAGTGATTGAAAAAGTAGTGGTGAGTTTCAAAAATCTTGACTGAGTTTTTAAGCCAGGTTGAGCCATAAAGATTTCTTTAAAAACTTCCTTCTTATGGGAGGAAAGATAAAGAAGGAGGGAACAGGTTGTAACTGACGTTTAGGTGTAAAGCACTCGTCGCATGGTCGATAGGAAGGCAGCTCGGGGGCAGGAAGGAACCCCGAGAAGCTGTCGCGCCTGCGCTCGGGTCCGCCCGCAGATGTGTGAGTAAGCGGGTGAGGGCGCAGGATGAGACCCCGTTCCCGGGTGCACCCCGATCCACTCCGAGCACAGACCCGGCCCGGTTCCACTCCTCCGGAGCCCGGTTTTGTAACTACACCAGATGGAGGCAGCTTTGGGATCCGGACTCATGCTAAGCGCCTCCAAAATCTGATCAGCTGACACTTAGACCGCAAAGGCAGAGAAGGGCTCACCCGGGCTTACCGCCACCGGCAAGGGACCCGGAGCCGGGAGCACAGTCCGATGGCAGCGACATCACGGCGACATGGCCACGCCCCGCACGCCCCTTCCGCGGAGCCGGAGACCCCGCGACCGCCCCCCGTTTTCAGGTCGGTCTCTCTCTCGCTCCCGTCCTGGGAATTTTCCTTTGGGGTAAACCTCAGCGGGGAGCAGTGGACACCACGGGTGGCGTGTCTTGAAGACGGACAATGACCGATTCGGGGACAAATAAATGTGCCGGCATATCGAGGGGCTGCGTCTCGCAGCCCGTGGAGTGATGGTTACCTCGGAGTCACGAACTCTATGCGGATGCGTTGCCCCACGCGACCCCCCAAGCCTTAGTCGGCCACTTGGCAGATGGGCGGGGCGCCCCCCGCCCCGAAAGCCTGCTGCCGGGGCGGACCCCAGCTTCCGGCCACTCACCGGCCGCACAGCATGGTCATTTTTTAAACGCTAATTTCAGCTCCGACCTCGCCAAAACAGTCAAGGCCAGACATTTCAATTGCTTAGATAAAACGCTTCCTCGTTAGGTATTCAGTTCCTGCCATATGGACTATGACACCTGACATTCAGCGCTCCTACCCTTAGAGGGCGCTAAGCCATGCGCACGGGGTCTCCGGGGCCTGCCGCACGGGGTCTTGGGGGGGGGTCCCTGCCACACGGGGTCTCCAAGGGTCTGCAGCACGGGGTCTTTGAGGAGGGGCTGCCCACACGGGGTCTCCGGGGATCTGTCACACGGGGTCTTGGGGGGGTCCCTGCCAGATAGGGTCTTTGTGGGGCCTGCCGCACGG